GTAAGCATTTATAACCGATGAGCAATAACTGCATGTAAGGCTTCTGAATCAGGAGCTATCACTTCGCTTATCATTAAAACTACAAGGAGTGTAACAATTGACAACAGTGATGGAATTCGAATTACTTAGTAACACATGCATGACTGTGTTGCAATCATAGTCATGTAAATATTTGTCTACACCTGATTATTAAGTTTACCTTCAATAAATCCTGCCTCTATATCACTGATAAGTGGTTCAAGGAAAGGGTCAAGACTCTTTGGCTGTCCATCAGGGAGGTCATAAGAGGGTACAAATCCAACTGTGTAAACTTCGCTAGTTTGTAGGCGCTCTTCCTTTGTCATTGTTGCCACTGACACCTCTATTGCACCTTTTAAAGCATAGCAAAGTTTCAATGTGGCAGTGTATACATGGCGCATGGACAACCAACAAAAGATTATGTTGTTGCAATCTGCTGGAATCTTTTAATAAGTAAATCTTGTTTCATTAACAGTCGATGATCTTAGGGTACTACCTTACCAGTACTACGTGTTCTGCTTCCAAATGGTTGGAAGCCATCCCAGTGGCCTGAAAATTCAAAAAAGTTTATCTTGTTATTTTTAATTAAACTAGTACTTATTTAAAAACTAGAATAATATTATTATTCAACACCCTAAGACCCATTAGAACTACTGAAAGCATAAGTTTCAAGCAGGAAATATTATGATTTTGGCTGAAAAAGTTAACATCTATTTTACACTATTAATGTGATCCCCTTCAAACCCACCATATACTTACAGACATAACATTTTTATGCTTACTAATGTATAAACCAATTATCTTACCAATGTATGCTATATTCCTGGGATCACCACTGACATACTTAGGGTGATGATCAAATCTGGTGCAGCAACTGACACAAAACAATTCTCTACTTCCATCAGCCTTTGTAGGGGCTTGCGATATTTCCTGTGCACTGATGATATTTTTGCAACCCTGTCTGACACATCTTGCAGGCAAACACCATGTTTCATCAGGATTCCAAAACCAAGCCAACTCAGAAAATCTTGTACCATCCCATACCTCCTTTTTAATGCTCCATCTGTCATTACCTCCATTTATCCAGTGTTCTTTTTCCACCCAGTGGGCCGTCATCTTTTCACACATCTGTTGATCTGCAACCCATAACTTAACTTTGCTACGTAATCCAAGATAATAATACTTTATAGTTCCTGCTTCTCCACAAAAGCGGCACTTTTCAGTTGCAGACTCCATAATGTCCCTGTGGTTTTTATGTGCTCCACTCAAGCAAATAAAGTATTCTTTAGCATCTTCATACCCTACATCATCAAGAAATTTTTTGGCTTGTTCCCAGTCCCTGGGCCACTTTATTTTCATTGTGTGGTCTTCTTCATCTATTTCTTTTCCTCTGCAATACATACGGCGAGCATAGCAAAGCAGGTCTTCTACAGTGCATAATGAAGAACCTGTTCTTACACTAAGTTGAATTGCTTCAAATATGCACTTCACAATGGCATACTTTAATTTCTGATCTTCAGTACCAGGAGCAGTTCCTCCATTGTCATCCCCATTTATGCCATTACCATCATCTCCAATATCATCCACACCTTCAAAGTCCATTGGGGGGTCCACATCCTCAACATCAGAAAGGTTTTGATATTGAGGAGAACAAATTTGTTCAAAGTTTTCAGTTGCATCTTCATCTTCTACTTCTTCAGTGGCCAGATTGGTTGAGGTACCACACTGCAAACTTACTGTTTCCTCTTGCAAACCAGTGAATTGGTAATCTGTACTGACTGTATGGACTATACGTTGATTTGCCCGATATTGGATGTTTAGAACGAGAAATTACACGTTGTCTTGCCTGCCACTTTTAGCTTGCTTTGCATTGAATTGGCAGCAGATGTGAAGGACGACAAATACATCTTTGGAAGTTAAGTCTTGGCAGGTTATATGTTTGGTGCACTTGGAACCGACCTTTATTCCGGGTGAATCATCTTTTAGGGGCGAAACGGTACCGGGCGAAATGACCACAGTTCAACAAAAGTGAATATAAAAAAACAAGTTCATAATTTGAGCAAATTACCTGCTACACTGACTGCATTGGAGGCTTCCAAATTCCTCTCAAATTCTAAGTGGGATATTTGGGTTCGGTAATTCACAGGTTTTCCATTGCAGGAACTGCAGCAACAGTGAACATGAACTGTTTTCTTGGCAGAACAAAAGCAGAGAGAAGATGGCTGTCTCTTTCCTCCCTCCGCCATGTTTGCAGCTTGAATTACAAGCCAGACAGCAGTGTCATTCATTAATGACACCTCAGGTGTGTTTACAAGAAGTAACATTTGTTTTGAACCAATCAGAGCGAATCACGGCACGCCAAAAATAGCGGGAAATATTACTGCTTGTGCATTATGTCATGGCGGCTGTTCAGGTGAAGACGTATCGTTCTTCTCTAAAGGCAATGGTTTCCTCCCCAGTTTGTGATGAAGAGGAAAATTCTGACCTAGATTCGTCTTGCAGCACATTATCGGTAGATGAGAGCGAGAATAGTCCACCTCAATCTCAAGTGACGCCAGTGATGCTAAAAAGAACTACAAGCACGGGTTTTACTCCGAGCGTGGTGGCCGTGGATCAAAGAGAAGATGTTGAAGATCTGAGAGGTAAGTTCCCGCCAAAACAGTTTTGCTTTCTGACTAATCAACTTCTTCTGCCCGGTTCTTAGTTTCTTTTGCTCTTGCTTTTTTTTTCAGACTGGGATGTTCAGCATGTCAAGGTCTGGGCAAAAGCGCTATTTAATGATGAAGGCATAGCTAGAAAATTCGAGGAAGAAGAAATCGAGGGGCGTACACTGCAGTCTGAATGCATCTTGTCCGATGCATCGATGGACAACCTTGGATTATCAACAATTGGAAAGAAGGACAAATTTGCCACTGCCGTCCAGGATCTTTGCGGTAAATTTATCAAAGTCACAATAATGATAATACAGTCAGTTTTTATTTTTGTGGTTTCTTCAAGTTCTGAATAGACCCTTTCACGGTTTCTGGCACCATCTTTGTTGTGGGCAAAATTTACAGCCAATAGTTGCGGTTCCACTAGAGCTTTTGCCCACGGAAAAGTAGGAATTTACCCACGGGGAGTCTGTGTTTTGTGTGTGAGCGATATTCCCACAGTGAAACTGCCCACGGGAAATCACTATGGATACATCAAAAAGAACAAAAGAATGACCCATGACATTCCCAGAACCAAGTAGTAGGGTTTAGCCTTGGTTTATCTAGCCACAAGAGTAGTTCAACCAATCGGGTGGAAGAAAATTGCAAATACAGGAAACCGCAGCACATGCTGGGCACATTTTTGCAGTGTTGAACTGAATTCGCGGCAAATGCTCTGGCACGTACCAAATTCGGGACACGCGGTAACAAGCCACTGCTGTCTGGCTTGTAATTCTTTTTTTTTTTTTCACAGCTACTTTAGATCAGACGATGGTGAGGAAGATGCACTGTTGTACAACGGTTATTTATTTCAGAGAAGTTGAGAGCAAGAGAGTTATCAAAATCAACCAGGAGCGTACTCTCCATATCCGTATTATTTAACTAGCAACCCAAGAATACCTTACCAGTACGTTCCTCAGGAGGCTCCGCAATCTTGTAGCCCAATCAGCAGTTCTCAAGCTGACTTATCTGGTGAGAAGAGTGTCACAGAAAAGAGCAGGCGTACAAGCTGAGAACATGCAGAAACATGAAGCTTGATTGCAGCCTACCAGGAAAATTACGATCGTTTAAAGTCCACAAAGAGTAGCCATGGCAAGAAAAGCGTATGGGATTCAATTATGGCAGATTTTGTTAGTTTCTGCTGCGACGCCGGCATAGAATCAGAGAAAACACTAGCCCAGATTAAAGAGAAATGGCGCTCTTTGTTCAACAAATACAAAGCCGTCAAAGATAACAACAACAAGAGTTTTACGATGAGATCAATGAGTTAATGTCAGGGTCCAACAAAGTGAACCCAAAATTTGTCAAGGAGAGAAGAGTAATGCAAGTGAGGCCACAGGATTCTGCGACGAATTCCGAGAGTAGGGACAGTGACGAGTTAGGTACTGTCACTACTGCTGATCCAACAACAGTCGCTGTTGGGGAAAAGCCCAATGAGAAAGAGGATTCACCCTGCCCACCAAAAAAGAAGAAAAAGAGAGCAAGCCTTGATGGAAAAGAAGCAGAAAGTACCATTCTAAATCTCATGGAGGCACAACAAGCAGCCATCGAGAAAGCAGAAGAGAAAGACCAGCGGATGTTCGAGGCTTTGTTAAAATCCCAAAGCGACTCTCAACAAAGGCACCAGGAATTTACTCTTTCTGTCTTGGGCAAACTGGGCGAGATTTTCTCTTCAAAAAAATAAAGAATTTTTTTCTTTACGGTATACACAACTAAAAAATCAATTGTTCAAGTTGTAGTTTTCTGTTTTAAAGGACATTGAACGTGAATTTTAAACCATTTTATACACAATACGACAAACGAACTCTCACGTTTTTTTTATTAATAGATTAAAGTGTTACGAGGAAAATTCATGTGGTATTATTTCTATATTTTAATGTTCACATAATTTCTTAAATGCTCCCACTAGGCATGGCCATGTTACAGTTTTGTGTCAGTTATAGTTCAGAACATTCATGAGAAACATGAAAGCTTGTATGATTATTATTAAACCTGGGAATTCAGTTTTGCTCTTTTAATGAAAATTTTAATAAAAATAGAGTTTTACAATCAAACATTGTGATTAAATGGTGAGAAAAGGGTAATCAGGGGAGTAGTTTTACAATATTGAAATTATAAAGGGCCAACAACAGAAACATGGTCTAGTGTTGATCAGTTACTTGCAAGTAAACCGGGCTCCTCTGTTTTCATTTTCGGCGGCTGTTCATGAGGTGTTTACTATGGAAGGCCTTTACACTAGTGTCCATACTACCTTATTTTATTACAGAACAGAGAGCATCACTGAAAAAAAAA